TCGTTGTCCTAATTCTTCAGTTTGCTGTGGGTGGAGATGTTCCAAGCCCTTTCTACTTCACTGTCACCAGCTCCTGGTGACTCACTGGCAGCCCTTCCTACACTACCCCTCCCGTAGGGCAGAGGATCTTGCAGATGCTGTTTCTCCTCTGGTGGGTGCCATAGTAACAGGAAAGCAGCTCCCAGTAGCCTGCATATAGACGCTAACCAGCACGTAGAAGAGGATGATGGGAGTAAACTTCACTGCTAAGATCTGAGGGTCCACAAAACGCCCAATTCAGGTTTCTTTCAGCTTCATCACATGAAAGGAAAGGCACGATTTACAGAGACTAATCTGGCTTCTGTGCTTTTTCTCCTCCATGAGTGGTTAACATGAGAAGACTTCCTGTTCCCCTCCATCCTTTCCTTTCCCTTTCCTTCCTCCCTCTCTGTTTCCTTTCTCCCTTCCTTCTCTCTTTCTCCTCCTCCTTTCTTCCTGAGCTTCATCCCCAGCCTGAGAGAAGCTCTTGTTCATTTGCTTTTTGCAGTGCTAGGGCTCGAACCCAGGGTCTTGCACATGCCAAGCAAGCACTCTACTACCAAACTAGCCCTCCAACCTGAAGGAATTTATTTTTTGTAGAAAACATAGGTTTATTCATTTTATGTCATATGTGCTTTTGCCTCTCTCTCTCTCTCTGTGTGTGTGTGTGTGTGTGTGTGTGTGTGTGTGTATTTTTGATGCCCTTGGAAGACAGAGAAGGACATGAGATCTCTTGGATCAGAAGTTATGGATGGTTGTGAACCACATGCCACATGGGTGCCGGGAAACAGTGAACTCCCAGCAGGAAGGAGACAGCGGAGGCAGATGAGGAATTTTGTGCTGTCAATTGTATTTTTTTTTCATTTGCTTGTTTTGGCTTAATTTTAGAGTCCTGCTATGTGGTCCTGGCTAGAATGGAATTTACTATAGCAGCCAGGCTGGCCTTGAATTCATGGCAATCTTCCTGCTTCAATCTTCGAAGTTTCTGGTACTATAGGTATGTATTACTACACCCAACTCTGTCTGTCTGTTTGTCTGTGTTTGTATACATGTGTGTGTTTTGTTTTATTCTATGTTTTAGAAAGAGATTCATGTATCCCAGGCTAGCCTCAAAGTCACTACATAGCCAATGATGACCTTGTTTGGCTTTTTTGGTTGTTGTTGTTTTGTTTTGTTTTTCAAGACAAAAGCCAAAGAGCCAGTCCTGGAACTCACTTTGTAGACCAGGCTGGTCTTGAACACACAGAGATCCGCCTGCCTCTGCCTCCTAAGTACTGGGATTAAAGGGGTGAGCCACCACTGCCTGGTGATGACCTTGAACTTCCAGGCTTGCCTTTCCCTCCTGAGTACGGGGGTTACAAGTGTGTGTCATGCACAGCTTATGTGATAATGTGATAAACAAACCCAAGGTTTCATGCATGCTAAACAAGCATTCTTTTTATCCTGAAGCAAAGGTGACCCTGAATCTTCTCTAAATTACACTGAGGACATTTAGACTTTCTCCAAGTCATTTTGGTGGACTGGCAGAGTCTAACTTCTCATTTCACATTTTGGCTTCTGCAAAACAAGACAGAAAAGAGTTTGTAAGGTCAGAGGAAGACCTGAATATACAATACACTTTAGATTTTCTTTTTAAGCTGGGACTGTGGTGATAAATGTAATAACAATAACCACTCCTTTTTCCAGATTTCATCTTACTTTTCATTTATGTTGTCTGTGTGTATGTATGTGCACAAATGTGTGTAGGTGCACTGGAGGCCAGAAGAGGGCATTACATCCCCTGGAGTTGGAGTTACAGTCAGTTGTGAGCCTATGGTATTAGTTCTGAAAACTGGCCTCTTGGTCCTCTGGAAGAGTGGCAAGCATTTACTCTAAGCCATCTGTATAGCTCCTAATTTTCTTTATTTGTTTTTTGACAATTTCATACATGTAAGCAAAGTATTTTGATCATACTCAATCTTAATAGCCTCCTCCCACTTCTCCCTGGTCCCTCTAATATTTCTCTGCACCTCATATCATACATCAAAACTAACAAAAGTGGCTCAAAGAACTAAATGTAAGAGGAAAAACTATAATACTATTTGAAGAAAACAGGGGTGAGATTTATCTTGGTTTAAACAATGATTCTTGGGTATGACTCCAAAAGCTCTGCAATGAAAGAAGACAGATAGGCTGGAGAGATGGCTCAGTGGTTAAGAACACTGACTGCTCTTCCAGAGGTCCTGGGTTCAAGTCCCAGTACCCACATGGCAGTTCACAACTGCCTGTATCTGTAGTTCTGTGATAGCCAATACTCTCTTTTGGTATGCAGAAGATAAAACACTCATATACATAAAATAAATAAATTTTAAAAAAGAAAGACAGATAATCCACAAATTTCCTTCTTTAAAAAAACCTTTTATACAACTTTAACTTTTAATTTATTAGAACTTTTAATTAATTAGAAAATTAAGTGCTGATTTTTAAAAGCAGAGTTCCTGTCAAATTAACACGTATTTCAGGGCAAAAATACATTTAAAAAACAAAATCTTAAGGCAGAAGAAAAACATTGAAAAAAAAAATCCCAGCATGTATAATCCAGACTGTAGAATGTCACAATCTAGAGAGTCTAGAAAGTCACAGATACAGACTATAGAAGGTTATCATCTCGAGTCTAGAGAGTCACAGAGTATTTTGCAGCACTAAACTGTTAATAAAATCAGAAGTATTATTGATTGGTCCAAGATTCCCCAATTTATAATATGTCTCGTCTGTTAATTGAAGTTTTTCTCCATCTTTTTTATTGATTCTTTATGAATTTCACATCATGTCCTCAATACCACTCATCTCCCAGTGCTTCCATATCTGCCCTCCGACTTTGCAACCTCCCCCGAGAAGAAAGCAGAGAAAGAAAAAAGTCTCACTGAGGAAGCTGCAGTGTGCCAGGGTGTGTCGCCTAGTCTGCCCTTTTGTCCAACCAGCTTTCCTTGCAATGAAATGTTCATTGCCATGAGTCATTGGTCTGATTCCAGTGCTCTGTCTTCTGCTACACCATTGATACTGAACCCTCATGGAGATTCCTCTGATATCCTGCTGTTGCCCTGAGTCATGGAGATCCTGTGGCTTTGGTTATGTAGGACCCGCCCCTTCAGGAGCTCCAGAAGCTTGTAGATGCTCTGGATCTGGGCCTGGATGGTAGGTGAGTTGGTCAGCAGGCCAGCTCTTCCTTATCCTCAACACCTGGGGGCCAATTAATTGAAGTTTTTGTTGTGTAAAGATAGCTACTGTACAACCAAGTTTTTTTTTTTATGACAATGGAATCAGCAGGCAACTTTAGTTTCATCTGGACAGTTCTACAACATTAGGTAATATTAAGTAATGCGAAATATCTCTAGGCATTTGTAGACCCGGCTCCCTGTGCCACCACCCATGCATGTGCATCTCTCCCCTTCTTTAAAAAAATTTTATTCCACGCATGGGTGTAAACCTTTAATCCCAGCACTCTGGGGGCAGAGGCAAGAGGATTTTTTATGAGTTCAAGGCCAGCCTTGTCTACAGAGTGACCTACAGGACAGCGAGAACTATGAGAGAAACTCTGTTTAAGTTTTTATTATTAAAAAAATATATTGTTATGGGGCGGTGGTGGCGCATGCCTTTAATCCCAGCACTTGGGAGATAAAAGCAGTTCAAGGCCAGTTGAACTGTGAGTTCAAGGCCAGACTGGTCTACAAAGAAAGTTCCAGGACAGTCAGAGTAGTTACACAGAGAAACCCTGTCTCGAACATCCCCCCCCCCAAAAAAAAAGAAAAAAGAAAAAAAGAAAACAAACAAAACAACCCTTTTTTTTTTCCCCTCCATATACCAGGCTGGCCTTGAACTCACAGAGATCCACTAGCCTCTGCCTCTGGGAGTGTTGGGATTAAAGGCATGAGCCACCACCACCACCAACAGGATGGCAGGCTGGCTTTCTCCCTCCCTCCCTCCCTCTCTCCCTCCCTCCCTCCCTCTCTCTCTCCCTCCCTCCCATCCTCTCTCTTTCCTTCCCTCTCTTCCTCTTTCCTGACAGGTTTTGTCTGTGTAGCCCTGGCTTTAACCAATCACCAAGACCAGCTAAAAGGATCATTTCTAAAGGAGGTGGATGTGCCACAATTTCTTTTATCAACCCTCAGAACTGAACAATTTTGTTTAATTCTTTGGGTGCTTTCTACTAGATAAGGTGAGGTCTGGATTAAAAATGGTAAACGGGTTTTTGGCCTGTTGATGTTGGATGATTTCACTTTGGCATCAGATGGACCACCCAGCCTCAGTCTCTGCCAGTTCCCGTACCCTGCCACCCTAACCCACCCGCGGCCTGTGTTAATCATCGTGGGCAGTGTGGACCTTCGTTTCACTGGCGTTTCCCTGAGTCCACAGGAAGGAGCAGTTAAACACTCAAAGTCCAAAAGTAGCAGCGAGGTGTGATGTTGATCCTCCTCTCACGGCTAGCCAAGTACAGCAGTCTGCACAGGACGGGCAGATGTGAGCAATACCATGCATTAATTCACTCAACAAGAACTTACTGAGCAACTACTAGACACAACATTATCTACAGTAGTGCATGAAAATCAATAAAGCAAGAAATTAAAATACAAGATGTTGGACGGACAAACAGGAGAGAGGGACTGACAAAGCAGAGCAGTTGGTGAGGCTTCCGGAAAAAGACGACAAATAATAACAGGGAACATTCATGGGGCCAACGTGCTGTGCTGTAACTCCCACGCCAGAACGTCCTTTAAATTCAGCCAGGGCAACTGCAAACACCAAGAACGCACGGGGGCGCCAAGGTGGAGCGCCTTCAACTTCAGGTCCAGGGCCCCGCCCCCAGTGCCAAGCCACGCCCATTTGATCAGCGTTCTCAGCCCTCCCCTTCCGCCCTTCCCGGCGCAGCCAGGTCTCAGTAGTCCCGGCTGTCCCAGGCAGAAAGAGAGAGGTGGGCGCGGTCGTGCGCAGGCGCAAAGCACCGAGCGCGCAGGCGCATTCCACAGCGCAGTGCTCAGGGCTACGTGGCGGGCGGGAGTACGGAAGCCGCTGGGAGAAGGTGTACTTACCGCTTCTCTGAGCATCTCCCTGCTGCGTGGAGCTTCCGCTGGCACCATGTTGAAGAAATTCGACAAGAAGGACGAAGAGTCGGGTGAGGGATCCTTGAAAGCCTGGGGAGGCCAGATCCTCGCGCAGATTCCTGGGACCTTCCTGGGCGCCCTTTTCCGGGCCACTGTCAGAACCAGCGCCGGGGCCCAAAAGGGGCAGGGGCTTGTGCGCAGGTCCGTAGCTGTCCTCGGAGGGGCATGCTGTTCGCACTAGCCAGCTTTGGCCAGGATTGCTGCGTGACCTTGTGCGGGTCACGCTCCTCTCTGGGCCTCAGTTTCTCCATCTGATAAGAGGAGGGTTCCGGCCTGGATGCTCCCTTGTATTTCCGTCCGACTTTTTGGTATTTGCCAGAGCTTCGTTGGTACCAGCCAGTCTGGGCATAACCAGTCCTGCAGCTAAGAACCCTGTTTCATTCATTCAATAAACTATATATACTAAACGTCAGGCACCTCACGGATCTTGATATTGCCGTAGCTAAAAACAGTGGGACGCTTGGTGCCTGCAGTAGGAATGTTAGAATGGTCATATAGTGGAGGGACCAGATAGCAACCATATAATCACACACATAATTAATTAGAAATGTAACATCTGTTGTCAGGGATAACGCCACAGGTTAGTTAGTGTTGGTTGTTACTGGCACATAGACTCACTCAGGTTCTGGTTGCATGAATGAATGCAAAATGTGGCATCATGAGAGGCCCAGAAACAGTGCGGGGTGACTGTGAGCAAATGGTCTGGGGAAGAGGGGAGTTCCCTTAACAGGATTTATAGACAGATAGTAGAACCTGGATTGCCGTTGGTAGATAACAGAGACTTCTTCCCCTTCCCTGTGTTTGACAGAGTCTTGAAATTTAGGGTCCCAGTTTAGGAATGTAACTCAGTTGGTAGAGTGCTTGCCTAGTGTGCATGAAGCCCTGTGTTCGGTCCACAGCACCACATCAACCAGGATGTGGAGGCAGGAAGATCAGAAGCTCAAGATCGTCCTCCACTATGTTCGAGGCCAGCATGGGACTCTGTCTCAAAAAAGAAAAGGAAGAAATTAATTCAGGATTACAACCTGTAATCAGTCTTCTCTGTTCACTGTAGGTGGAGGTTCCAACCCCCTTCAACACCTGGAGAAAAGTGCAGTACTCCAAGAGGCAAGTTCCAGCACACCTGTCTGTCTGGTCAGATACATCTGCCACACTGTCAGAATACTAACGTGTAGCATGCTGGTTGTTCATTATATTTGCTAAGTGTCTGTAGTCAGTACAGCAGCACAAAGATTTGTTTGTATGCTTAGTAGATGAGTTAAGACAAATAAACTTGAAGCTGGAAAGGTGACTCAGTGGTTAAGAGCACTGACTGCTCTTCCAGAGGACCTGGGTTCAATTCCCAGCACCCATATAACAGCTCACAACTGTCTGTAACTCCAGTTCCAGGGCTTCTGACATCCTCACATAGATATCCATGCAGGCAAACCACCAATAAACATAAAATAAATAAATTTAAAAAGAAAGAAAGGAAGAAAAATAAACTCTTACTATTTGGAGAATACATTTATCTGGACAAATGAGTTAATATACACCCCGTAGTTCTCCAGGCCCTTAATGAACTGAGGGTTGCCGAAGGAAGGAAAGTATACTAGGCTGTAGGTAACAGTTGCTTTCTCACAGGCTCGGGTCTTTAATGAAACTCCTATCAACCCTCGGAAATGTGCCCACATCCTTACCAAGATCCTTTACCTCATAAACCAGGTAACAAGATGAGGGTGGCAGGGAATACGGGTATGGGAGGAGTATGGGGGATTGTAAATGGGGATGTACCCTAAGCTTCTGACAACTCTATGGACCAAAAGTCCAGTCCTGGGTCCTCTGAGTTTCCAGCTCTCATTTGTTGCCTGGAGTCCCTCCGTAGGCTCTAAAGGTCTACCCTGAGAGATCTTTCTAAAACTTAGGCTTCCTTTATGATTACCACAGGGGGAGCACCTGGGGACCACAGAAGCAACCGAGGCTTTCTTTGCCATGACGAAGCTCTTTCAGTCCAACGATGTAAGTACATCAATCCCTGCTTTTCTGGACGTGTGGAGGGAGGACCACCCATCGGCATGACTGCTGCCCACGGCTGCCTGCGGTTTCTCCTGACTCTGACCCTCTCGCTGAGCAGGATTGACAGGGCAAACTCTATCTTTTCAGCCCACACTCCGTCGCATGTGCTACTTGACCATCAAGGAGATGTCCTGCATTGCCGAGGATGTCATCATTGTTACCAGCAGGCAAGTCTTGGGCAGGGGACGGCTCTTCTGATGGCCGAGGCCCTTTCCTCCTAGACCCACCCCATGCCAGCTTCGAGAGTGTTCAGCTTCCTTCTCACTTCTCTGGCCCTGCTTCCCTTCCTCTTGCCTAGGCAGCACAGCCAGCATGGGCTCTCGGAAAGTCTTCAGTGAACTAAGGGAAAGAAGCAGTGCAGGGAGTTTGTGAAGACGTCTGCTTGCCAAGCACTGGTGTCTGCCTTAGGCCGAGTAATTTAGGGACAGATGACACTTATACAGATGCCCTTGAGAACTGGGAGTCAGAGCTGGACATGATTGTGCACACATGTACTCATGACGCTTGGTCTACATAGCAAGATATCTCAAAAAAAAAAACAACCCTCAAAACAAAACCCCCAAACAAAACACAGAACAATCACACAAAATACAACAAATACAACAAACCCCTATTTCTTCTTGACACTGCTATGCAAGGAGGTGTCCACACAACCGTGGTCAGTTACATTATGTTGATACTTACTGGGGCAGGAGAGATGGCTCAGTGATTAAGAACACCTGCTGCCTTTTCAAAGGACCTGGGTTCAGTTCCTAGCACACACATCAGAAGGTTTAGAACCATCTGTAACTCCGGTTTCGGAGGAATCTGATGTGCTGAAGGGTACCTTCTCTCATTTACACACAATCACATGCAGACACAGGCACCTACACATTACTAAAACTAATGAAAATAAATCCTAAAAATTTTTTTTAGAAAGATGTTGCTGAATGTTTATCAGTCCCTGTGTGGTTCTGGGCGTATAGTAGCAAACAAGAAAGCTATGGTGTGTGTGGCAAAGCTTTTCCTGGAGAAATACAACACACATGTCTACTCAGCCAAGATAGGGAACCCACAATAGCCAAAGTCCAGTTTGGTGAACCAATGAGTTTTATTGGGGTTGCTTACAGGAGCAGAAATGACTCAGAGACAGCTGCCTCACCAAAGCCCACCCCAGCATGGGTGTCGGCTCTCAAAGCTGGGGACCAGAGCACACTGCATAGCCTGTAGGCGGGTCAGCAGGTTGGAGTATGTCTTCCAGGTGCCTCAGGTGGTTTACCTCTTCCGGGCAGTTTGGCGAGTTTCTGCTTCTTCCAGGCAGCCGGTCTGCTCTGAGCGTCTTCTGTGCAGTTCAGCTCTTGGTCTGAGAGGGACTCTCAGCTTTTATTGCTCACTCTGGCGGGGAGGGGCTTAGTGAATCTGGTCAGTTTCAGGGACTTCCTGGATATATTCTGAGTTGTTTCCCTTCCTGCTTCAGAAGCTTCCATGCAAGATGGAGTATTTCAATCTTGGAGGAAACTTATGCAAAACATAGCCTCTGCAGCCTCAGGGTTTACAAGTAAATAACCAGGCAGCCAGGCTGATGAGATGGACTTCAGCATGGTTTGTGGAACTGTAATGGACTGTGAGAGCAGAACAGAAGGACACCAGCTTGGCTTTGGACCCCAAAAGGCCTCCAGAATGGTCTGGATTCTGCAGGAATGAGGTCTAGGCTGAACAACCCCACATGCAGAGGCCTGAGAGGGGAGGACAGCTCACTGAGAAGCTGCAGTTTCATGTTTTAGGAAGCCTTGAGCTCATGGTGATCCTGCTGCCTGTACTTCCGGAGTGCCGGGATCACAAGTGTGTGCCACCGTGCCCAGCTCTGTTTTGAGTTCTGTGACTTTCCCTGGAGCTGCTGTTTGGGTTAGAGCTTGGCTTGGAGGGGTGAGAACAGAAGGGAGCAGTACTTAGGAGGCTGGTGTGGTAAATCCAGGCAGGGGTGGGGTAGACTAGAGGAGGATGGCCCAGGACCCCATGTGTCAACAGTGCCTCCTTTCCACGGCAGCCTGACAAAAGACATGACTGGGAAGGAAGATAATTACCGTGGCCCTGCAGTGCGAGCCCTCTGCCAGATCACTGACGTGAGTTCCTCCACCCTCTGCCTGCTTCCCAGGCTCTCAAGTGAGGCCTTGTCCCAAGCACACCCTTGGATATCTGCAGCTGTCCAAATGGAGTGGAGGAGCGGGGTGGGAGTGTCTCATAGGAGCTTCTGGATGTGTTTGCTTTGCTCTGCATTCCACGGCTTCCATGCCTGAGCTCCATCACCTTCTCCTACTATAGAGCACCATGCTGCAGGCTGTTGAGCGCTACATGAAACAAGCGATTGTGGACAAGGTACCCAGCGTCTCCAGCTCTGCCCTCGTGTCTTCCCTGGTATGTAGCTGTGACTGGACCTGCAGGGGTGTGGATTGAAGGTAGAATAAACTGACTGTCTTGTTAGAATAGATCCAGAAACTCTGGGTCCACTGGGAAGAGCTGGGGTGAGTGTCTTTGACACCCCACCCCCTTAGATGGCAGATTGTTAGGACCGGGATCGGGCAGGAAGTCTGCCAAGCAGGGAGAATGAGGGTGGCAGCTGTGCTCTTTGTCCATGGGATCAGGACAGTGAGGAGGCTCTGACTGCATCTCAGAGGGGATATGGGTGTGACAAGAAGGGCACCCTTCCTTTTGACCCTTTAACAAGTTCCATTGCCTCCAGCATCTGCTGAAATGCAGCTTCGATGTGGTCAAGCGTTGGGTGAATGAGGCCCAGGAGGCGGCGTCCAGTGATAACATCATGGTCCAGGTGAGAATGGTGCTGGACAAACAGATGCACCACACTGTCGTTGTCCCCGCTCCACAAGTACTGGTGGCCTCTGGCCGGGACAGGCTTTCATCCTTTTGTCACGGAGTGTGGGGAAGGAATGGGAACTTGGGAGAAGTAGCCAGGGCAGCACATAGGTGTTTGGAAAACAGTTCCTCCCTGGAGCTGCTGAAATAGCCAAGTGCACTACCAGAAGATGAGATGTTTTGGAACACAGGCTGCTACAGCCCACCTGGCCCAGGTAAGCCAATGGCCATCCAACCATTGCTGAGCTGGCTCAGTGATGTGAGATTCCCGTCTGAGAAACTTTCCTTAGTAACCTAACCTGGTATGCCTCCCTCCGGGTCTCAGTTTCTTTGGAATGTTGGAAGAGCAAGACTTAAATAAGGAAACACACATCATGAGGGATGGGAAGGCTGGTTTGTCCCTTTCCTTCAGTGATTGTCATTCTCTTTGTTTTTTCTGTGGATCTTGCCTTTGGGGTCAGCAGTGATCCTTCAGCCCATCTCTCAGGGTCAGAGACACTTACCTATACCTTGGCTCTCAAATGCCACTTGACTAAGAGTGCTCAGAAAGAACAGGAAGTGACCTTGGTACCATACATCTCTACTAGTGACATTCTTGGGTTTCTAGCCCCCAGAGCCAGCTTGGCCATGAGTGGGACCAGGGACAGGCAGGCCAGTCCTCTGGGTGTTGGAGGTTTTGTGTCCTGTGTCCTACAGGACCACACTCAGGGCCTGCCCCAGGTCTCTGGGGCAGCTCATTTCAGTTCTGATGTCTTGTCCCACATAGTAGGGTGCCTGCGGGGTTCTTGCCAAAACTGGTGCAAATGAGAACATCATGTGTGTGGTTTGTTGAGCATTTTGCTGGAGTTATCTTTGCAGAGTGTCTGGGAAAATTGCTGCAGCCCTCTGTGTGGATGTGTTTGCTACACTTAAACAAGAAGGGTGAAGCTAGAGACGTACAGTAGCCTCGGCATGGCACAGCAGCAGGCCTGGCCTGATGTGCTCGTTTCCTGTGCTGCCTCTGTCCTGTAGTACCATGCGCTAGGACTGCTGTACCATGTGCGGAAGAATGACCGCCTGGCTGTGAGTAAGATGATCAGTAAGTTCACCCGGCACGGCCTGAAGTCCCCCTTTGCCTACTGCATGATGATCCGAGTGGCCAGCAAGCAACTGGAGGAAGAAGATGGCAGGTGAGAGTGCTGCCCTCCTGCCAGCCAGATGGTGCCTCCCGCATTGCCGGATTGTTCCCAGCTTCCCGTTGCTGTGTTCCTTTGTAGCCGTGACAGCCCACTGTTTGACTTCATCGAGAGCTGCCTGCGTAACAAGCATGAAATGGTCGTGTATGAAGCCGCCTCAGCCATCGTCAACCTGCCCGGCTGCAGTGCTAAAGAGCTGGCCCCTGCTGTATCAGGTGTCTATGTGTCCCCATGCCTACTGCATAGTGTGCCTGCTAGGCCCAGCCCTGAGCCAGAGCTTGTCTTCAGATAGACCATCTCTGCTGAAGAAATGAGTGTGTGGTCCATACTAGTACTGCTAGGCATGCTGGCTCCAGAGGAGGAGCCCAGGACCCCTAAAACCCGGTGTGCTCATGGGGTAGCACTGGAGCTCACAGCTGGACTCGCTGGCCCTGCTCTCAGCAGGTGGGCAAACCCCTGTCCTCTGACCTTCCTCTCCAGGCCTCACTTCCCTCCGAAACATGCATAGCTCTCTTTCCTGTAGTAGTGAAGGCAGGGTCTGTGCAAGCCTCCTGGCCCAGAATGAGGCACTAGCATGGATGTAGTGTGTTCCTAAGGAGAATCCAGCAGCTTTGTGTCGTTTCTGCTCTAGCCATCAAGTCAGTGCCCTGACAACCTGCTCTGAGCTGGTGTTGGGATGGGAGTGGAGAATATGCACCCAGAGCTTGAAGAGCCAAGGGGCTCGTGCAGAACAGCGTCTGTGTTGAGAGTTCAGAAGGGGTCTATATTGAAACCCAAGAGTTGGAGAGAGGGATGAGTGCCTAACCAGGACCAGCCCGGAGGCAAAGGAGTATGGCAGGAGGGTTGGAATAATTGAGCTCTTTTTTCAGAGTTCCCTACAGTAGTGGTATAAACCTGGTGGAAAGATGGGGTTCGAGTATGGAAGGAGCCATCTCCCTCCTTGGGGACAAACAAAAGAGCAGGTGCATCCACTCACTGACTAATGTTCTCCTATGATAGCCCTGTATTTCCAGAATAATGGAAGACATTAAGAAGAGGCTTTAAAAGATATGTTACCATATTTTAAGACAAATGTTAGTTCCAAACAAATGACAGGAGAATAAAAGCTAAGCAATAAAGAAAGGAACTCAGCTATTCCAGAATTCAGTCCTATCCAAGACTATGCTTGAATATGAACTTTAGCTGTGAGTTTTGGGTGGCCAGGGTTGAGCAAAAGGTGTCCTTGATATACACAGTAGGGGTCAACTCTTTGGGACTGTCCCAGAGAGAAATAAACTTAGTCTTTGAGGGAGGACTGAGCTCCCTGGCTCGGTGCTGAGGGATGTTCCACTGGGTCTGTGAGTGTGGAAGGAGAGAGGTAGCTAAGTGCTTGGGCAGCCCTTGGCTTGAACCCTGCTCCTGCCGGGTGGATGCTAACTCCAAGTCACTTTAGTTGCTCTGCCGCCGTTCCCTGGGAGTTGGGAGAATCAGACATGTCATCCACAGGGAGGGCCTAGCACATGGCAGGTGCTTAGTACATATCAATCACCTATGGAGCCCTTGCTAACAGTTTAGGGCAGGGCAGTTCTGCTGACCTCTGCTGAGCAAAAGGCTTGTGTCCTACAGGCCTGAGAGCTTGTTCACCTTTGATTCCATGCTGTTGCCCTGGGGCCCCAAGTATTCCACTGCCTGGCATCAAGGACAGCCTGACACGTGTGTCTGTCTCCCTGCAGTGCTCCAGCTTTTCTGTAGCTCGCCTAAGGCAGCTCTCCGCTACGCTGCTGTCCGCACCCTCAATAAGGTAAGAGGAGGGGGAGGGGCTGGCCTAGCTGATAGCAGGTCTCCTCCTTCTGCATGATCTGGGAAAGGAGTTGATGTGGTCCCCAAAGGACCTCTGGCCAGGCTTACCCTGTAGGTGGAATCAGAGAATTGAGTACCGCCCGATGTTCCTGTGCTGCCTCTGCAGGTGGCCATGAAGCACCCATCGGCAGTGACTGCCTGCAATCTGGATCTGGAAAACCTGGTCACAGACTCCAACCGTAGCATTGCCACATTGGCCATCACCACCCTCCTTAAGACCGGGAGTGAGAGCAGCATTGACCGCCTTATGAAGCAGATTTCTTCCTTCATGTCGGAGATCTCAGATGAGTTCAAGGTACCGCGTGCTCTCACAGCTTGTAGCCCCCCGAGGCAAGGGAGATGTTCTGAACCTGCTGTCCATGCCGCTGGCTTGGAGTGTACACGCCTACCTTTAAGTCTTTGGCCCTCTGTCCCTTTTAGCCCTAAGCACAGTACTTTTTAGGTTAGGATGGAGTTTGTTTATTGATTCTTATAAAGTTTTTATTGAGCTCCTGCTGCCTGTTCTAGAGTTTTATGAGAGGGAGCAGCAATGGACAAGACAGATGCTTTCTGTTGGGAAAGATGAGCTTTATCAATGAACAAACATGTAGACAAGCCATAACCTGGGATGCGGCGAGGAGCCAACACTGCAGCTCCATCACCAGCTGTGGGGCAGGCTTGGACAAGGAAGGCAGTAGGGGCCAGGGGCAAGGGCAGGAGTGGCTGTTTGGAAAGTTCCAAGGAGAGAGGGCATCGGGGGGTCAGATGCTTGGGATGGTGAAGGCAATGATGTCAGCACAGGCTGGGCTGTTCTCTGACAGACCTACAGCTTGTGATCGCTTTAATTGTTAAAAAAGACATTTGGAAAGGTGGTTTGGGATTTGTTTTCTTCTTGTTTTTCAGATTAAGACAGTGTCTTCCTATGTAGCCCACGCTGGCCTCAAACTCAAGTTTCTCATGTGTTAACTTCTTCTTTGCTACTGGGATTGCTGGGTGTATCACTCATCCCCTACCTGGCTTTTACTGGTTTTTTGTTTGTTTGTTTGTTTGTTTGTTTGGGATTTGATTTTTCTAGAAAGGCTTCTTACTCCGGGATGACCTGCAGCTCAGTAGCCCCAATCTTGGAGCAGCTCTCCTTCTGTTGTCTCCCAAGTGCTTGAGGTTACGATGCCTCCTCCATATCTGGCTTGTAGTATTGTTTTGTTTTGTGTTTTCTAGACAAGGTTTCTCTGTGTAGCCCTGGCTGTCTTGGAACTTGCTCTGTTGATCAAGCTAGCCTGGAACTCACAGAGGTCTGCCTTCCTCTGCCTTCTTAGTGCTGGGATTAGCGCTTAGATGCGCACCACCACTACCTGGAGTATTTTTTAAACTTTTACTTTTAAATAATTCACAGGAGCTTGCAAATAAATAAATAAGAGGAAAGGTCCTGGGCATTTCTCTAAACTCCAGTGCCCGCATCCCACATAGTCATAGTGCCGTGTCAATGAAGAAACCAGCAGTTGTACAGTCTAGAGCACTTACTCATATTCCATCGGTTACCAGGGGCACGTGTGATGCCTTTCAAGACCGCTGCCACAGTCAGAGCTCCTGCCACTAGACAGGGCTCGTGCCCTCCATTCCCAGCCCCTCATCCTGATTCCTGACAGTCACTAACCTAGCCTTATTTTCCGTAGTTAGAGTGTTTCAGTGTTACACAAAAAGTCATGAAGCGTGTCGCCGGGGAGTTTTCATCAGAGCAGAGAGTGGTAGGAACAGTTTTTAATATAGCAGAATAAGTTCAAGAGTGTGAGTTGTAAAGAGTGGACAGAAATGTCCTCTGCATGTGGGCTGTGTGAAGGCAAATCGGCCGATGATGCAGTGAGAAATGCACACAAGAATAACCCTTCGGACAGCGGACCATGAGTCTGAAGAGACTCATATCTCAGAAGACAGGCACAGGAGCAAGCAAGAGAGCTGGTGTAAGAGCCGTGTGAGGTCTTGAGCCAATTAAATAAAGAAACAGAGGGTAAAGCAGAGGGAAGAAATAGTATACAGAGACCTCAAGAAGAAAGCAGTGGAGTGTTGAGTGAAATTGTGCAAGGCAGGAGGGAGCAGGCCAGGCAGGGTTTGGGGACCCAGACTCTTACTTGGGCTACTGAGACTGCCGTGTTTTCCTGCCCTGGGTGACCATGTGCCTCTGCATGGAGTGTTGTTGCTCTTGTGTTGGGTCTAGGGCATGATATTGCATAAGGAGGGACTCTATGACATTTAGTGAGCCAGTCACCAGTCTTATCAGGGTCTGCTATTCATGCGTGTCTCTTTACCCCAGGTGGTGGTTGTCCAGGCCATCAGTGCCCTGTGCCAGAAGTATCCTCGCAAACATGCTGTACTCATGAACTTCCTGTTCACCATGCTAAGGGAAGAGGTAAGAGTGGGGCCACTGGGGTCCTGCAGCTCTTTTGGTGCAGAGAATGACCTGGCTGCCGAGATCCATTGCTTGGTTTAAGCTCAGAACACCGTTAAACAGCTAGTTTCCTGTAGCCTGCGGCCATTTAAACTTCCGTGCACAGATGCTGCAATGGCACCAGCCGCTGTAATTACAGTAGTAATGTATGACTCACCAGCGTGGCACCAAGTCCAGCGGGTGCCCTGAGGCAGTGCTTGTGCACGAAGGAGGATGTGTCTAAGCTTTACAAAGTCAAGCTTAGAAGGCTGCGTACCTTTCAGGAGCTCTTGGGAAATTTGTGCTAAAAACATGACATTGGTTCTGGGGTTTGTTGTTTTATTTTGAGACAGGGTCTCTACCTAGCTCTGACTGTCCTGGAACTCACTAAGTAGACAAGGCTAGCCTTGAACTGACAGAGACTCACCTGTCTCTGCCTACAGAGTGCTGGAATTAAAGGCGTGTTCCACGGTGCCTGGCTGGTTCTGTTTTTTGTGCTTGACATGAATCCATGTTTTTGTTTGTTTGTTTGTTTGTTTGGTGTTTTTGAGGCATGGTTTCTCTGTGTAGCTCTGGCTGCCCTAGAATTCACTCTGCAGACCAGGTTGGCCTCAAACTCAAAGGTCTTCCTGACTCTGCCTCCCAAGTGCTGGCATTAAAGGCGTGCACCACTTCCAGGTTTGTTTGTTTGTTTTTGTCTCAACAAAACCAACTAATTCCACAGGATCAGAAACAAGTGTGTATTGGGGGCTTGAGGGACAACTCAGTAATTAATAGCACTGGCCGCTTTTCCAGAGGACCTGGGTTCAATTCCTAGCACCCATATGGCATTTCACAACTTTCTGTAACTCTAGTTCCGGGGGATCTGATGCAGGTGGTACACAGATATACTTGCAGGCACCAAGCATGCAGGTAGTGCACAGATATATTTGCAGGCACTGAGCATGCAGGTGGTACACAGATACACTTGCAGGCACTGAGCATGCAGATGGTGCACAGATATACCTGCAGGCACTGAGCATGCAGGTGGTGCACAGATATACTTGCAGGCATTGAGCATGCAGGTGGTGCACAGATATACTTGCAGGCATTGAGCATGCAGGTGATGCACAGATACACTTGCAGGCACTGAGCATGCAGGTGGTGCACAGATATACTTGCAGGCAAAACACCTATACAAATAAAATAATTTTTAAAAAACAAACTTTTTTTGTTCTACAAAAAAGTGGAACATATTTGGCCCACAGAATCTACAGAGCCCTTTGCTCCAATCCAAGGTCGACCAAGGGCCAACAAGATAGCAGCTTTTGCATTGGTTCCCTGGTTTTTCTCAAAGGCATACAGATAAGGCATGAATGCCCTAAGTGCTTCCAGCTGCAACCCCAGTATGTTAGAGACTATATGTGGGATGTGAGGTCTCCTGATCCTCCTTACTGTTCTTGTCACTAATATTTTAAGAATGAGGACTCTGGAGCCAGTGAGGTGGTTCAGCTGGTAGTAGTGCTTACCACACCAACCTGTTGACTTGACTTTAATCCCTGGATTCCATGGTGGGAGCAGAGAACCAATTCCTGAAAGCTGTCTTCTGACCTCCTTGTTTGTGATGTGGCACGTTTAGGCCTGCACTCACACACAATGTATTATACATCCATACAAAATGATTGTGTGTGTGTGTGTGTGTGTGTGTGTGTGTGTGTGTTTTAAAAGAAGTACTGGAGAGAGAGTTTAGTTAAGAATGCATACTGTTCCTGCTGGGCCGTGGTGGTGCACACCTTTAATCTCAGCACTCAGGAGGCAGAGGCAGGTGGATCTCTGTGAGTTTGAGGCCAGCCTGGTCTATAGAGCAAGTTCCAGGACAGGCTCCAAAGCTACAGAGAAACCCTGTCTCGAAAAAACAAAAAAACAAAAAACATATTGTTCTTGCAGAGAAGCTAAGTTTGGACTCATAGTTAGCAGTTCATAACTACCTATGACACCATCAGGAAGGAAGAGAATTCTGGAAACCAGAGGTGTAACTTGGATGGCAGCATGCACCAAACCCCGATTTTGATTTCAGCACTGTATAAACCGGTAGCGGATACATACCTACAATCCTAGCACTTGAAAGGTAGAAATGAGGTCAGGAGCTTAGGGTTATCCTTGGGTGCATAGTGATTTTGAGGTTAGCCTGTGATACACCAGTCCCATCTAAAAGAACCTGAATCTGAGGCTAATGTGACCTGAGTACAATGACTTGCCTTCCAGATTATTCTGAAGAGCAAGGAAAACTTAGTGGCATCCGAGCCCAGGTGCCTCTGACCCAGAAACCCATGCTTTTCTCCCTGAAAAAGCCCAGGCTTTGTCTCCTCAGCTTTCTGGCTGCTTCCCAGAAAGCTACATGTTTCACCCAGCAGTTAGGGTAATGAATGACTTCACTGAGGGGCTGCAGCACCCAGACTTGAGAACTTGCCTTGCTCCCGCTGACATCTGTCATCTAGTTAGAGCCAGTGGCTGGCTGCAGCGGTGAGATTGAAACAGCATTTGAGGGTTTGTAGTGGACGATATATTGTTGACCTGTGGCTCACACACTGAGAAGACAGTATTTTTTTCTTCTTTTCCCCTTTAGGTTAGTCTTTACTATATAGTCCTGACTAGGTTGTCCTGCCTCAGCATCTCGAGTTCCTGAATTACGGGCATGCACCGTGCCTGGTTCAGATTGAATTTTGTTTGCTCTTCAGAACAACCTGTGAGGCAGGCACACCAATGGCTGAAGCCTTTAAACGTTAAGTGAGGTGGCTAAAGACAGTGGCCACCAAGCCCGATGTCTAGAGATCAGAGTCCACCGCTGAAATGCATAAAGCAGAAAGAGCCGTGGCTGAAGGAGAGAAGTGACTGCTACAGGTTGTCTTCTGACGTTCACTCAGAAGTGCTGCGTGCTGCGTGCCTGTGAGCACACAGGCTGGATGACACGTCTCACTAGCAGCCCGTCCAGCCCCTTCCCGCGTCATCACAGTCCGCAAAACACAACCTTGGGGTGGGAAGAGTGCTGGGGATCAGATCACCTACACCCTACCCTCAGCTGGGATCTTCTTTTTTTTTTTTTTTTTTTTTAAAGATTTATTTATGTATTATGTCTACAGGGGTTTATGCCTGCAGGCCAGAAGAAGGCACCAGACCTCATTGTAGATGGCTATGAGCCACCATGTGGTTGCTGGGAATTGAACTCAGGACCTCTGGAAGAGCAGTCAATGTTCTTAACCTCTGAGCCATCTCTCCAGCCCGGGATCTTCTTTTTTTAAGATTTAATTTTATTTATATATATGGGGCTGTTGGGGTGTGTGCTTGTGAGTCGGAATTACAGGCTTGCACTACTGTGTCTAGATCATTTCAGAACTTTCTAATTTTTAATTTTTTTGTTTTTTGTTTTTTATTTTTTGAGACAGGGTTTCTCTGTATAGCTTTGAAGCCTGTCCTGGAACTAGCTCTTGTAGACCATGCTGGCCTCGAACTCACAGAGATCTGACTGCCTCTGCCTCCCGAGTGCTGAGATTAAAGGTGTGCGCCACCACCACCCGTCTAATTTTTAATTTTTTAAAAAGTTTATTTTGTGTTTAGTTCTGTGGGATGTGTGTGCATATGCATACCAGGCCAGTAGGGGGTCTTAGATCCACTGGAGCTGGATTACTGGCAGCTGTGAGCTGCCTGATGGGGGTGCTGGGAACTGAACTGCAATTCTCTGGAAGAATATCAGATGCTTTTAGCCACCGAGCCGTCTCTCCAGCCCAGCCCCCACCCCCATTAATTTTTTTTTCAGTTAGATATTCATTTAATTTTATGTGTGAGTGTTTTGCATGTGTCAGAAGTCAGAAGAGGCCATGGAGTCCCCTGGAACTGGAGTTAGGGATGGTTGTGAGTCAGCGTGTAGGGGCTGGGAACCAAACCTGAGTTCTTTGTAGGAACAAGTGCTCTTCACTGCTGAGCCTCTCCAGCTCCAACTCTAGTTTTTAGCTAGGACTGCACCTTTTAGACACTGTCTCCCCATCTGCCTCATCTAGCCTCTCACCCACATTCTTTCTATGGGTATGAATCTGACTGCTCCAGTTACCTTGTGGGGAATCATGAAATGTTCTTTTCCTGCCTCCCTCATTTCACTTTGAATGTCCTCAGGTTTCATATATGTTATAGCATGCATCATTTTCTTCTTTTAAAGTAGTGACTACACTTTGTTTACCCTCTCATCCACCTGTGAACACTCGGGATGCTCCTGTGCTGCCGCTGTTGTGACAGGGGCTTCTGAGATCATGAGTGTAGGGAGCTGTTCTGTTGCTGACACCCAGGACCGGAGTTACTGGATTAGATGGTAATTCTGGGCTTGATACCCCGAGGAACCACCTTACTGTTTTCCACATGGGGTGTGCCACTCATTCTGCCTTTTTTTGTGTCTCGGTGTCACGTGTAGCACGATCTCCCATAGCCAGGCTTTCAGTTTGAAGTGGGTGAGTCTGTGAGGTATATAGCAAGTAGGCAGTAGAACGTAGGGTCATACACGATCCTGCAGGAGTCTAGGAAAGCCATGGGAAGAGTCATCGGAGGCCTTCGTTGACAGAGGGTTCCTGCAGACTGTCTCCTGCTAGGTGACTGCTGGGAGCTGTTCCTGCCCCAGGTGTTTTTACTGTGAGACAAGCAGCAGGGGAGTCTTTCCCTTTGGGAAGGTGCCTGGGAATGAGCTGCTGGCTGTCTTCGGGGACGCGGTATTTTTACTTAACCGATTTATTCTCCTGTTCTCAGCGGTGCTGTTTTCACTCGGTCTGTCTTGCTGTTCCCCTTCGTCTTCTCATAGGGCAGGTGACAGTCATCCCTGGATAGCAGGTGACAGTCATCCCTGGATAGCAGGTGACAGTCATCCCTGGATAAGGGTCTTGGAGACAAAATCATGCTTGGATCTGCGTCTGGGGTCGGGCTGGGGGCAGCGCTTCCTCCAGAGCCAGCTTCTCAATGAGCTTTAAAGCATGTGGCAGTTTACTCAGAGTGTATCTTTCTCCCTACGGGAGAACTGGGGTTCAAAATGTTCCCCCCATTAAACTATTCTACTAGTGGGCTTCCAGGCCACGCCTTTGTTTTACGCAACAAAGAGACAGAAGCCTAGGCTCCTGCTTCTGGGCTGTGGAGCAGTGTCTGGGCCTGACTAGGCTCTGGGCGTCAGCTGGTCTCCAGAGGATGTGAGCTGTTTGCTCAGCTAGACATCTGTCTCTGCAGGGTGGCTTTGAGTACAAGCGTGCCATCGTGGACTGCATCATCAGCATCATTGAGGAGAACTCCGAGAGCAAGGAGACAGGACTGTCGCACCTGTGCGAGTTCATTGAGGACTGCGAGTTCACTGTGCTGGCCACCCGGATCCTGCACTTGTTGGGCCAGGAGGGGCCCAAGACCAACAACCCCTCCAAGTACATTCGTTTTATCTACAACCGTGTGGTCTTGGAACATGAAGAGGTTCGGGCCGGTAGGTCTAAGCTGGGGTCCTGAACTCCTAGGTCTAAACCGGGGTGGTCCTGAACTCCTAGGTCTGAGCTGCGGTGGTCCTGGACTCCTAGCTTCTTTTGCAGTGAATTTGCCAGCAAAGGGACTTAAACTGTTTCCCAGGGGACATGACCTCATGAACTGTTTTTCATATTGTCAGAAGGACTTTAGATGTCATCTGGATAAATGATTTTCTTTTTTCTTTTCTTTTTTTCTTTTTCTTTTTTCTTTTTTCCCTTTCCTCCTCTTCCTCCTCCTCCTCCTCCTCCTCTTCCTCCTCCTCCTCTTCTTCTTCTTCTTCTTCTTTTTTTTTTGAGACAGGGTTTTTTTCTGTGAAACAGTCCTGGTTGTCCTGGAACTCACTTTGTAGACCAGGCTGGCCTTGAACTCACAGAGATCCACCTGCCTCTGCCTCCTGAGTGCTGGGATTAAAAGTTAAAGGCATGCACTACTGCCCAGCTTGGATAAGAGACTTTCTACAATTTAATTTTTTTAAAAGTTTCACTATATATTAGTGGTTAGAGTGTTTTTTGTTTGTTGTTTGTTTGTTTGTTTGAGATAGGGTCTTGCTATATAGCCAGGCTGGCTCATACTTGAAATTCTCCTGTTTCGACCTTCTGAATGCTGGGATCACAAGCATGTACCACCGTACCTGTCTGTTTTTTTTTTTTTAAACAACTTGAGATATAATGCACACCATAAAATTGACCTTTTTATACTTTTATATGAGACAGTGATTTAACAGTCTACCATCTTGTTCTAAATTTCATCTTATTTTCCATTTTCTCCTTCTGTGCCTCTCTTAGGAAGATTTTCTTCTCTTAGCAGTTGATATTCACTAAGTGATGGTTTATTTTCTCATGTTTTATTCTCAGACCTAGCTATAAATGAAATTGTTCTGAAGTGAATACCTGGCAGTGTTGATAGCATCTGTGGCCTTATCATTTGAGAACAGCCTGTAGAGCCCTAGGACAGAAGCCACTGGTCTATCACCCCCTTTCTCCAGTAACTGACAGAGGAAGTAGGGCCTGGGTAGCACCAGGATCCGCCAGGATTGCACAGGAGCTAGTCTATGATGATGGTGGGGTACCACCTACTAGCTCTTCCACTTGAATTCCCTGAGCACTAATGGGCACCCTCAGCTCTCTGGCAGGTGGGCCTCGGGCTGTTGGTGATTCCAGTTTACCTTGGAACTAGGTGCAGTGAGTGCTCTGGCCAAGTTTGGAGCCCAGAACGAAGAGATGTTACCAAGCATCTTGGTGTTGCTGAAAAGGTGAGTCTAGGCACAGGAGCCTCCGCACCCAACAGTGTTCCCTTGGGTCCACTCTACCTCTTTGCCCTTTAAAAAAATTATTTTGGTTTTTTTATTTTTCTTTCTTTTCCTTTGTTGTTGTTTTGTTTGTTTGTTTGTTTGTTTGTTTGTGGCAGGGTTTCTCTAATAGCCCTGGCTGTCTTGGAACTTGTCATGTAGATTAGGCTGGCCTCAAACTCACAGAGACCTGCCTGCCTCTGCCTCCCAAGTGCTGGAATTAAAGGTGTGCACCATCATGCCCAGCAAAGACTCAATTATTTTATCCTATTTGTGTGGGTGTTTTGCATGCGTGTATATTTATGCATTGTGTGTGGTGTCTATTACCTGCTGAGTCCAGAAGAGGGTGTAACTTGGTGTATTTGTGTCTTAGTTTGTCTTGTTTGCTGGGTGAGGTCTTTACTAGGGAGCTGTATGTCACTGTCTGTCAGCCCCTGGTGGTTTGTTGGTTTTTTTTTTTTTTGCCCCGAAGCAGGATTTTTCTGTGTAACAGTCCTGGAACTCACTTTGTAGACCACGCTTGCCTCGAACTCACTGAAGTCCCCCATCTCTTCCTCCCAAGTGTTGGGATTAAAGGTGTACGCCACCACTGCCTGGCCAGCCCCTGGTGGGTTTTTTTGTTTGTTTGTTTTTTTCAAGACAGGGTTTCTCTGTGTGACAGCCCTAGCCGTCCTGGAACTAGCTCTTGTAGACCAGGCTGGCCTCAAATTCACAGAGATCTCCCTGCTTCTACCTCGCAAATGCTGGGATTAAAGGCATGTGCACAACTGCCCGGCACCCCTAGTGTTTTATGCTGTCATTTAAGAGCCTCCACTCGTGACAGCTAAGCTTCAAGAGCTCTGCATCTCCCCGCCACCCCCATGCAGCCCTCCAGGGTCGCTTTGACACCTTGTATCCTGGGCACAGGTGTGTGATGGACGACGACAACGAAGTGAGAGACAGAGCCACCTTCTATCTGAACGTCCTGGAGCAGAAGCAGAAGGCCCTCAATGCAGGTTACATACTAAATGGTGAGTCTTCTTGGTTGCCCAGGACTCGGTCTGCTCCTGGAGCTTTTGGCCCTTCCTGTGGCCTTAGAGCAGGTGTGCTATCTCTGAGCCTAGACAGCCAAGACCACACATGCTTCTTTGGGCTTGTATAGCAACCCTTTGGATTGATATGACCTCAGAAGCCCTAGGTTCACGTGGCTTGAACCCATGTCCGTGGAAATGGCTAGGTAAATTAAGTACTCTTTGTGTGTGTTTTCTGGCTTGAACCCAGGGCCTTACACATGCTTGACAAGTCTCCACCATTGTGCTGTATCCTCAGTCCAAAACGTTTATTGTTGTTTTGAGGTGGGCTCTCATTATATAGCTTAGGTTGGCCTGGAATTGATGACAGTCCTCTTGGCTCAATGCCCAGAGTTGAAAACACTCATTAATAAAACCTTCTAAGCCTGGTCTAATGGCGTATGTCTTCATCCCATCCCTCCAAGGAGGCTAGGCTGGGCTGGGGGATAGGGAGCTCCAAGTCAGCCTCAGCTACATAACAAAGTGACATTTCAAGCAAAACAAAGCAGTAAGTGGAAACTTCTGTTGCCTGAGTGATTTTTTTTTTTTGACTTTTAAAAAATTATTTATTATGTATACATTGTTGTTCTGCCTGCATGTATCCCTGCAGGCCAGAAGAGGGCACCAGATCGTATTACAGACGGTTGTGAGCCTTTGTGTGGTTGCTGCGAATTGTACTCAGGACCTCTGGAAAAAGTCAGTGGTTTTAACCTCTGAGCCATCTCTCCAGCCCCATCTTAGTAGTTTTTTAAGTCCCTTTGTATTTACGTACCCAGCAACCCTCTGGAAAGGAGAGTGAGGAGTAAGAGGTTTCATGGTTTTCTCAGCTTCAGCACATTTAGCATTGATACTGGGGAATCCAGGCCTCTGTCCTCTCTAGGTGCAGCATGCCTAATGATCTCTCCTCTGGCTTTAGGTCTCACTGTGTCTATCCCTGGTTTGGAGAGAGCTCTGCAGCAGTATACATTAGAACCATCAGAAAAGCCATTTGACCTCAAGTCTGTGCCTCTGGCCACCACCCCTATGGCAGAGCAGAGACCAGGTAAGGCCCTGCTCATGCCCAAGGCCCATGTGACTCCTTGGCTGCAGAGTAACCAGGATGGGAGGTGTGCTGAGAAGAGGGAGCAGCCCTTGCACCTCTTGCTTCAGGCAGCGGGGACAGCCATGCTACACGCATGCTCTTCTTGCATGCTTCTCTCTCAGGAGAGTTGGCATTTACAGTGTCTGAGTAATAAGACGGGGTCAGCAGCACCATGCTGCTCGTGTCTAGAGCCGTGGGTCACCAGCTGTGCTTGCTCTTGCAGAAAGCACTGCCACCGCAACGGTCAAACAGCCAGAGAAAGTGGCAGCCACTCGGCAGGAGATCTTCCAGGGTGAGTAATGGTCAGTGTGGTCAGAGGCTAGGTGACTGCAGAGTCTGCCAGCCGCTGATCACATCGACCCGGTCGCCACCTCTGATTAAGATTTAGAACTTCAGAGGATGTGTGTGCTTCGGTGGTAGAGTACCTTGCATTTTAGCCCAGTACCAATAATTTTTTAAAGAGAACTAGAACTTTATTGGTCCTCCAGAGTGCCGGGTGATCGACAGTACTGGGGCTTCTTTCGTGTTTGATTTTGTGAGTGCTTGTGGCCTGGGTTCCGGGACGCCTGGGGGAGTGGGGCTAGAGCTCAGAGACACTGGTGCTGTGGTTTTGATTCCTTATGTGTCCATGCTGCCTTATAAAGGGTGTCTGCTGTTAAACACTGGTTTCAAAACTGAGAGTATTGTCAAGGAATCTGAGCTCAGCTCACCTCCAAACCCTCTGTCCTGTATCTGTTCCGCATGGCTGCACTAATAGTTCCTCAGGTGTCGTGGTTCACATAGCCAACCAGTGACTTCTGGGAAGAAATCTTGCCTTAGAGAAGGGAAGAGAGCAGGGTCTGAAGCTGTTGGAGGCAGACATATTTTCCAGATACCTAGCATGTGCCTCTTCACCTGCTTTCAGCCTATGAGGATTATCAGAATTAGCCTGATAGAGTCATGGTATCCCTGGGCTACTAGGACCTGGTCATGGTACATAGTGGGAGTCTTACCCATAGACCCTAAAAGTTTTATTTATTTACTTATTTATTGGTGCTGGGATCGAACTTAGGGTCTCAAGAATGCTAGGTATAGTGTTCCAGGCTGCGTTAGGGCCTTGTTATCTTGGTTAGGTTAGACAACAACTTAATGACTGAGGTACACAGACTAGCCTTGAATTCGCACTGCCCAGCTGCCTGTTGGCCTTGAACTAGACCCGTCTGCTTTGACCTCCTAAGTAACTGCTAAGTAACTGGGATTTCAAGCCTGTGCTACCATGTCTGGTGTTTCTGCAGCATTTTGAAGTAGCTCGTCATTGGCTATAATAGCACTCACTTGTGATCTCAAGACCCAGCAAGCTGAGGCAGAAGAATCACAAAGTTGAAGCTAGCCTGGGCTAAAGAGTTAGACATTCCAAAGAAGAAGTAGCTAATCATTGGCCATATGCCTTAACTGACCAGTGCATGGGTGGATTTGTCTTTCACCCAAGTTTATAGCTAACAGTACGTGCCTCATCCTCGCAGTCTTTTCCTAATCGTCACTCTTCAGGATCCTTGTTGAGGCTGGAGAGGTGGCTCAGCAGTACATGCTGTTCGTACAGAGGACCCAAGTTCAGTTCCTGACACCTGTGTCTGGTGGCTAACAGCTGTCACCTCCAATCTTGAGAGAAAGGGAGAGGGAGGGAAGGAGGGAGGGAGGACCATGGATGAACTAAAGGTAAAGGTTTTTAGATGGATTAGGTCTTGCACATTGGGGTCTCGCACGGTGAATTGCTTAGAGGTCTTGCGTAAGACAGAGGGGCTTCTTCCTGGAGGGCTAGGGCTTGAACCAGACAGAGAAGTGTGCAAGTGTGCCAAGGAAGAGTGAACAGCCAGGTGGCCATGCATGTGCCCTCCCTCTATGGGAGGGGTATGAGGCCTGGGGGCTCAACACAGATTGGTGTGGAGATCCAGAAACCAAGTGAATGTGGTCTGTGGATTTCAGAGCAATTAGCAGCGGTGCCTGAGTTCCAGGGACTCGGGCCCCTCTTCAAGTCCTCACCAGAGCCAGTGGCCCTCACCGAGTCAGAGACCGAGTATGTCATCCGATGCACCAAACACACCTTCTCTGACCACTTGGTGTTTCAGGTAAGCACGGTGGCCTGAGACCCCGCTGCTGCCTGCGCCCAGGAGCAGTCCCCAATCACATGGGTCCTGTACGGCTTTCCGTACATGGTTGGGAGCACAGCTTGAGGACCATACCTGTCACTAGCAAGTGTGTCTCATCCCTCTTGGCCCAGGACTCCTCTAGCCTGTAAACATCAACCAGACAGAGGGCTGGGATTGGGGGGTATATCCTGACTCTTCCTGTAGCAACACCTGAGCCCCACTTCTCCTTCTCCAGTTTGACTGCACAAACACCCTCAATGACCAGACCCTGGAGAATGTCACAGTGCAGATGGAGCCCACCGAGGCATATGAAGTACTCTCCTATGTGCCTGCCCGGAGTTTGCCCTACAACCAGCCTGGGACCTGCTATACACTAGTGGCTCTACCCAAGGAAGACCCTACTGCTGGTGAGCTCTCTGTAGATGCCACCCAGGCCTCATGGGAGTCCATGCATCGAGGATGGCACAGAAACTGCTTGACTCAGACATGAGACTTGCTCAGGCCCAAGTTCTTTTCATGTGTTCTCATAGCAGCTCTGTGAGGATAAGCACTGTCCTTGCTCATAGATGAGGAAACCAAGGCCTAAGCGAAGTGGGTTATATTAGTTTAGAATCAAGGCCTGTTTGGTCTTCAGATGAGTTAGTGCTGCACAATGTCTCTCAAAGATAGGCAAAAACACCCAAACATCGCAAATTCATTTTTCCAAAGATATTACCAGCTTTTTTTCCCTACCATGAACAGTGACCTGCAGCTGTGGCATGGTCTTAGCCACACTGCATTGTCTCCTTTTCTTGGGACCTGTGACTTGATCCTGTCCTATGAGGTGGTGCTGGGATTGGTGGCATGCCAGCTGTTATTAGTGCTGCCTGAAGGGCGGGCCATGTCTGCCCGATCGTGAGGGGCTTGTCATCATCCAGCCCTTCTTCCCCACAGTGGCGTGCACGTTCAGCTGTGTGATGAAGTTCACTGTTAAGGACTGTGACCCCAACACTGGAGAGATTGATGAAGAGGGCTACGAGGATGAGTATGTGGTAAGAGGACGGCGCCAGGGACTGAAGACGTGGCTCAGAGGTTAAGAACGCTGGTGCTCTCTCAGAGGACCAAGTTTAATTCCCAGTATCCACATAGTGAATAGCACTGTCTGTAACTTCAGTTCCAGGGGCTCTGATGGCTTCTTCTGGCCTCTGCAAGCACTGCATAACTGTGGTGCACAGACATACACACACACACACTCACATACACACATACATATATACACACACACACACATATACATGTATACAAATTTTTACATGCATTTCTGATTATTTTCTTAGGATAAATTCCTTTTGGCTCAGAAGGAAAGCATGAAGACTTTAATTGCCATAGTCAAATTGCTTTCTAGATAAACTGGGCTCCTTCACCCTGGACCACAGAGTCCCGTGGTGTATATTGTAACAACCGTAGTAGAGAAGGGCCATTCCTGAGCCTTGAGGCTTTTCTCCTCTGGGAGCCGTAGCTGAGGTACTCCTCACTGTAGCAGTGGCCGTGTGTACCAGAACACTGGCAAGAACGTTTCTGTGAGGGTCTGTGGGGAGAATGAACAGAGGAGCCTCCGTGTGGACACGGTCCGAGCTGGCTGAATGGGAGTACTAAGTGTCAAGTTCACAGTTGAGGTGACAATAGGGTCCAGCCTATGTTGAGCCTAGAGGCACAGCTAAAGTATAGAACCTGCTGGGGATATGGCTGCTACCTGTTGAAAGAAGTGCTTTTATTGTGTACCTTGGGATGGGTCCCGACATAACTTGTTCTCTGTCCGGAAGCCACCATGTCCCTACATTGGCAGGTATCTGCTAAGTGAGCTGCGGAAAGGCAGGGAACAGCAGATGAGTTCAGAGCAGGGACCTGGAAAGTGGAACAGGAAGTCTCTTCCTGAAGTCTAACCTCTGTCCCCATATCTCCAGCTGGAGGATCTAGAAGTTACCGTGGCTGATCACATCCAGAAAGTCATGAAAGTGAACTTTGAAGCAGCCTGGGATGAGGTTGGGGATGAGTTTGAGAAGGAGGAAACATTCACTCTGTCTACCGTCAAGACACTTGAAGGTAAATGATGGTGGCACCGTCTCTGACCTGGCTGCCTTTCAGAACCCTCAGCTGTACAGCAGCTGCCATGTACCCCTCTTCCCACCAAAGATCCAAGGCCACATTTAGAGCACACATGCTGAGTGCCGGGGCACAGAGTTTTGGGAGCGGGCTTGTGGCTCAGTGGGAAAGTGCCCTTAGCATGTAGGAAGCCCAGGATTTAACTAGCACCCAACAAAATAAACACACAAACACACACACCCCCATGACTTGACAGTGCTGGGGTTTCTTCCTACAGAGGCTGTGGGCAATATTGTGAAGTTCTTGGGCATGCATCCTTGTGAGCGGTCAGACAAAGTGCCGGAAAACAAGAACACTCACACGCTGCTGCTAGCTGGTAAGAAACGTCTGTGGGGAGGGCCTCGGTGCTTTACGGGTGGGGCTGCCCCATCTTCCCCACACACCTGTGTGCTCTAGTAGTCCCACTGGTACTTGTCCTTATCCTGTGAGAAGGACTTCTGTGGGCGTGGCATGATGGCTCAGCATTTCTCCCTGACCGCTGGTCTCTTAAAGCAGCAGGTCTGTGATCTAACAGTGGGGATCCAAATGCCATCTCCCCAGCTCCCAGTGTAGTTTTAATGTAAGTTTTTGCATTTTGAACGAAGTGTCTTCCATTCATATTTCTTTTTTGGTGACTTGTCTGATGTTCGTCTAATTATCAACTTTATTGGTTGTTTTTTTGTTTTTGTTTTTTCTAAGAAGAATGGGTATGGGGCCTGGCCTGGTAACTCACCATGTAATTTCAGCATTTGAGAGGCAGAGACAGGACCTTTTGTGTAAGTTTAAGGCCAAGGGCTAAAATGCCTAAGCAAAGCAAACAAAAGAATGGACGCTTAAGCTTTTGTCTCTGAAGTTTTCAAACACATACAAAATTTAAATAGTGCGTATAGTGCACTAACTGTCGCCTCACACTCGGAGCACCTGTGCCACTCATCCCTAGAGTATTTTATGCAAATCATTTGTGTAATTCATATGTAAATACTTGATATCCTATGGTTAACTCAAAAAGGGCCATGGATTGTTTGCCCTGAGACAGTTGTGGATATGGAGCTGGACATTGAGGGGACTGAGGGTAGGGGAGACTCGGGGACTGAGAAAAGGGGAGACTCGGGGATTGAGGGTAGGGGAGACTCAGGGATTGAGGGTAGGGGAGACTCGGGGACTGAGGGTAGGCAGATTCTTGGCGCAGAGTCTTGCTGTGTAGCACAAGATTCTTTGAATTTGTAAGTAATCCTCCTGCCTCAGTCTTCAGTGAGCCTCCACACCAGCCCTGTTCGTGTTGTGTGTCCACCCCCCACCCCAGTACTAATAATCAGACCCAGGGCCTCTTGCCTGCTAGGCAAGGCAAGTGTTCTACCATTTAGACATACCTAACCTTGGATTTTGGTTTTTGGGGTAGTTCGTTATTTGGAGGCATGAGGTGAACGAGTTTACAAATAGGGTTGGAAGATGTTCTGCTTCAGTGCGTCCTCACAGCTCACCACCACAGTCCCTTGGGTCTGTCAGACATGTGCTTTGTGGGTTTTCTTGTCGGGGCTCTCCCCCTCATCAGGACTCTCAGATTCTGCCACTGTGTGAGCCTCTAACGTGAGGTTTAAGCCTTTCATATCGGTGTGCTCCCTTGAGCCTGGCAGGAACCTGAAATAGTCAACATTCTTACTGCCATACTTTGTTGTTAAGGGTTCTAGAGTTCAAAGCAGTGAGGTTTTCCCAGGCTTCCCAACTGTGCCTCAGCAGAGTGGCTCCCTTGGTCATTCGCTGCCTGTGACACCCTTAGTATGGCATCCACAGCCCCTTGAGCCCCACAAACTCTGCTTCTTCTTTCTTCCAGGGGTCTTCCGGGGTGGTCATGACATCCTCGTGCGCTCCCGACTTCTGCTTCTGGACACAGTGACGATGCAGGTGACTGCCAGAAGCTCAGAGGAACTGCCAGTAGACATCATCTTGGCTTCAGTGGGCTAAAGACCGGCCTGAGTAGACCCTACTCGTTTTTCCAACACTACGTTGAAGTAGCTTCTTCCCCATCAAGCCAGTGGAAACCCTTTCCCACACCTCTGTATTCAGAAAAATCACGAATCAGTACAGATTTTTTTTTAGTTCCATCCTATCACCCAGGAATGCTAGGGTAAATTTTTTTCACCCTGCCTGCAAGGAGACATCACAAATAAATAAAATGTTCAGACTTTCTCGCATATTTATCCCCAAAGAAACTGTCTTACCCTACAATAAGTCAGCATGTATTTCTTACAGCTGCTTCTGCAGGCTTCTGCTCAGGGCCTCCACCTCTCCTTGAGGCCTTCCTTCCCAAGTGGGGCGTGCAGGTACCCGTTGGGGCTGTGTCAGTGCCAAGCTTAGGATGAGGATAAAGGCTAGCTGAGAGACAGCGCTGGCAGGCCTGATGAGCCAGCTTCAGGCGTTTGTAGATGGGTAAGTCTCCAAAGGCTCAGGTGTTACCTGAGGAGCTCTGGGTCAGTCTGTGAGTAGGAAGACCAGTCTCTTTTGGCTAGAGTGAAAAATCCTAGGGTATTCCCCAAGGGTCATGGACCTTAAACTCAAGTCAGGTGTTTTTAAACCATTGGAAACAGCAGTAGCACTTTCTGAGTGGACCTCCTCTGGGGCCCGCTGAGGTGGCGCAGCAGGTACGGGCACTTGCCAAGACTGACTACCCATGTGATGGAGGAGAGAACCATTTCCCAAAAGTGGTCCTCTAACCTCCTCATGCATACCTTGTATGTAGTATGTCCATACACATACATGTGTGCATGTTAGAACATAGGCCTGCCCCTTTAGGCCTAATCCCATTACCTGAAGAGATCAGGCTACACCTGAACATAGCTAAGAAGCTGTGCTGTGGCCTAGCAGTAACTCGTGATTTATGGTGGTGGCTCCTTCTAGCGCTTGGTCATGCCTGCTAAACTAAATCACGTGATGTGAAATTTTCTGTCACCCTTAAAAGGTTATAGAGTCAGATTTCTCATTTGTTTGGGGGGATTTGCTCATGGAGGTTGCTGAAGGCTGCTCCCCTTCTTCTGCCCCCACCCTCCTTCAAACTCTCTCCCAGGGACACTCTGGAGCAGCTGCTCTTGCCTGCCCCCCTTCCCTCCTCCACCCACCCTCCCCAGCCATTATGGAGGGCCTCTCCAGGCTTTAAAGGAAAGCCTTCCCTTTAAGGCTCTTTGTGCTTAGACCTTCACTATTGTATTCTTTCTGCTAATACCCTCCCCTCCCACCCCTCTCAGCCTGATCATAGCCTGGATGCCATTCCATTCTAATAAACCTCACTAAAGGTAATTGTGTGTCAGCCTCCTTTTGTGAACACACACACACACACACACACACACACACACACACACACACGCACACACCCCATAAACCAAATGTCGAAAGGAAACCAAGTGGGACTTCCTGACCCTGGAGAGCTAGCAAGTCTCATTCTGGTGGCCATATATGTTTGAGGGTGACTGGGAAGCAGACAGGTTTCCTAGTTTCAGGTTCTGGTCTGGGAAGGAGGAAAGATAGGGTCGTCTTGAGTGCTTGTCTCAGGTGCGTGTATTTTGTTTTGCTTTATGAGGGCGCGTCAAAGGAACTTAGTGTCTTGCAAGTTCTATGGCTCAGCTCAGGATGGAGCCACAGCCCCACCTGTGGGGAGGAAGCCCTGACGGCGCCTACGTCACGGCGGGGGCGGGGCCGGGTTATCGCAGGGGCGGGGCGGGTGTCCCTTAGGAGGCCGCGGAAAGCGCTGAAGCGTGGCTTCTACCAGCTGGCGGTGAGGAGACAGGGCGAGCGGGGGACGGGCCCTCCGAGGGGACGCGGGCGAGCGGGGGACGGGCCCTCCGAGGGGACGCGGGCG